GGTCGTGACCGTAGTTCCGACCGTTGTGAGGAAGGTGACCGTGACCATGGAAGAAGGGATGAGAAGGAATGGAGGCCGTATCGAAGGCCGGTCGTATGCTTTAATTGCGAGGAGTAGGGGCATTACGCAAATCAATGCCCCCATCGGGATCGTCGGCAGGTCAGCCGGCCGTCCACGTCATCTGACTCAAGGCGACAAGATTTTCGAAGAGAGTACTCGCCACCGAGGAAGGATCCTGAGCTGCGTGACAAAGTCGTAGAGCTGGCTAAGGGATTTAAATCGATCAAGGAACACTTTGAAACAATGCAAGAAAAGAAAGCGGACAAAGCCAGACGCAAGTTGGAACGTGAGAAAGAGAAGGAGGAGGAGTTACGCCGGCAGGAAGAGGAAGAGGCGAGGAGAGCGCAAGAGGAATTTCGTCGAGCAGAGAAGAAGCGAAAGAAGAAAGAGAAGGCGAGACAAGAAGCTACACTACGTGCCGAGATGAAGAAAGACGTTACAATGCACGCTGCACTGATGATGAACGAAATCAAAGATGACTGGATTAATCAGTGGAAAACCAAAGTCCTACCGACGTTAACTGGCGGACGAATTGACGCGAAGGGTAAGAAGAAGGTCGTGTACCAAACCGGGAGTGATAGTCAATCCGAAGGGAGTGAAGAAGGCAGCGACACGAGTGTGACGCAGGAGTTGAGTGCTAAGGCCAGCAGACTATGTATCACGAAAAAGAGGAAACGGGAGACTGGCGTGGCCTTAGAAAACAGTCCTCTTATGGAACTCCCGCCAAAGCGAACCCCTCGAGGTGCGACAGGAAAGACGGGGAAAGCGATGGTGCCAATGACTCGAGCACGGTCGGAGAGGTTTCGTACTCCAATCTCAGCGAAGAAGAAGACTCCGGTGAGGACTCGGCTTTCGAAACTAACGAAGTCAGGTAATAAGAAGACTCCACCAAGCGGAAGGATGACCCCTGCCAGCCGGGTTCTCGCACGATTACGTTATCGTGATTCAATCATGCATGAATTGAAGGGCTGCAGCGCCAATGAGCTGCAAAGGTTCTGCAAGGATGAAGGTATTCCCTACACCGGAAAGGTGGATGCAATTTTCGACTTGGCGGAGCATCGAGCTCAACAGCATGCCAACGTACCTCCACAAGCGGAGGTGATTCGCATCGCCGATTCAACTGACGTCGGCGTCAGCGCCTCTGGTGATACACAGGAGTGATGTGGGATCCCCACTACTGCCTGGATGGATCTTTGCAGGTACTAGCCTACGATGCTCTCAGTTGTATGTCGATGGACGAATTGAATTTCTCATGCGTTTGATAGTTCTTCTCTTGATGTTGACGAAGTCAGTAAAGTGGTTGGGGAAATATGAGGAGTCATGGTTGAGACTGTACACTATCTATGGTATTGATTTTTTACGTCGTACGGGTGTGGTGTATATTGTTGTGTCTCCTTACTATAAGTTATGCTACGTAGTTAAGTCAGTTCGCTCTTGTGATACCAGATGGCGAAAGCATCTGTACGTCGTTCGTAAGCGAACCCAGTCACACTTCCATCGTTGGATCTCCTCCTTTGGCTTCGGGAATTACGTACTACTTCCTGTGGACACGTTCGAGGGAAAGGATTTAAACGTTCTTGAAGGACTATACATAAGTCGGTGGTCTCCTTATTTGAATACGGCGGGAACGAAGAGGAAGTTGGGTAAGGTGGGGAAGAATCGGCTCAGTAGGAAGGAAAGATGTCGGGCCAAAGGTAAGCAAGCGGGGGTTGTTAGCAGCAGCGTTAACTCGGTGCGTTTTCGTTGCGCTGAGCAAAACCTGGAGTTTATCGATCTCTATGCTTTTTTGGATGATTCCTCGAGTACTGGGAATCATCGGGTTCTTTGTTCCCTTGGGGAGACAAAGGTGAAATGTTTTTCGGGTTGCCGACAGTTGAAAGATTGTAAACAACTACTGGAACAGGGTGGGGATTTTGAGCTTGTACATATTGTGAAATGGAAAGCGAAGTGCAAATTCTTGAAACAAATCTTGATTGGCATCTTACGCAATCCAAAGAAGTTGTTTGATTTATATAAATGGGGGATGAGAGCAATACTGAGAGTTTACAGAGTGATTAAAGATTTTTCTAGGAAATCTACAAGGAAGTACCTGCGAAGGCTAGTTTCACGTTGTTTTCTGGATCGGTTCAATTTGAGCCTATCCTGCGATTTGACTTTTCGTATCAAGTTTGATGATCGGGTGGTGATCTCTGAAGTAAGAAAAATAGTCAATGACATGTTGATGACCTGTGACTTACCTTTGTGCTTCTTGCATCGAGCACGTCGGAAGATTCGCATCGTAGGGACTAAGAATCCCACGATTGCCGATACTGTGCACAACCATCGAGTAGCATCTACTCAAGGTGTGCTTACCTGTAATTGTTTAGGTTTGTCGTTTTCGCATGTGAACGGACATGTGACATTTCGCCTAAGTGAGGTAGCAGACATGCACCCACTATTGGCGAATTCTAACAATATCCCTAAAGTTGGGGTGACTAACAGGTTGCAACTACTCCGTGAGGAACTCTGTGCTGGCTTCAGGAACTGGAGAAATGCAGGCAGTCGTGTGCCCAGTTGTTCTTACGACTTGTCTTCCTGCGTTACCAGTGGTGACTGTTATTCCCCTTGTTTGGACATGTCGGATGTAGAGGCTCTTAAAGATCGGCTGGGTGGTCTTGTTGTTGCCCCAGTAGATAGGAATTCGGGGGAATCAATTGTGATGTGTGCTGGCATCTATTTCAATGCAATGATGCAGACCTTTGTGTGTAATCCCGGTTATCAAATTGTGTGCTATGGTGAAAGACAAGCTTTGAGGGAAGTGAAGGAAGATTTGCGGCGTTTGGATTTGAGCAAAGTTGTGCAAGGGGATGGGAATGGTAGTTTTGGTGCAGCTTATGTAATCCCCAAGCAGAAAGATCTGAGTCGTTTTCGACCGATCTGTCCTTCATTTAAAGAACCCACGATTCGAACTGCCAGGTTGATGAGTCGTGCGTTGAATCACTTGCTGTATAACGTACCTAGTGGTTGGCATTTCAACCTACGTTCAGTTTCGGAACTTACGAAACGATTGGGTATGTTGAACCGGAAGTTGGGCAGATTAGAAGGTGAGCGTGTGGTGAGTGTTTATTCCTTTGACGTCAAAGAAATGTTCAGTAAGTTGCCTCACGATATTTTACTGAACTCTATTGATTGGATCATCAATCATTTCTCTGAGAAAGACCTGGGTTTTGTGCGAGTAAATACTCGCGGTAAGGGCTCGTCCTTTGGTTTGACTACGGGTGCTGACCATTGGAAACGGATAAATCTGATGGACATCAGGAAATTTGTCCATCTGGAAGTAGAACACACCTACTGTTTTGCGACAGGAGTGTTGCTGAAGCAAATTGTTGGTGTACCTATGGGTAAGAGCATGAGCCCTCCGATTGCATGCATTATGTGTGCCTATTCGGAGTACCAAATGGTCTGCACGTTGGGGCCGACGAACAAATGTTTTGGGGCACTACGACTGATTGATGACGTGTTGTTGGTCATCTCCAGTAGAAGGGAGGAGACGAGAGCCTTGATCTTTGATGCACTGAGTAACTGTTATCCGAGGAACCTGTCACTGAAGAGAACGGATGACGGCTCTGGTACCTTAGAATTTTTGGGATGTGAGATCAGAGCCAAGCAAACTTTTCCTTTCGTTGGCAGTGTCCAACTTTCCCGTAATAAATCGAGGATTTGGTCGACGGATCGGCTGCTTATCCAAAATGGGCAATCATTTTATTCCTGGGGAAGTAAAAAACAGAAGAGCGCCGTGATTTGTAGCTACCTACACCGCATTGACCAGAACACATCGATCCGCTCTGAGATCCCAAGGAAAGTCCTGATCTCCAGCAGGAGTTGCTAAAAAAGGATTTTCCGATGGGTTTTGTTAATCGTGTTTTCAGGAGATTTGGCAGCCGACGTGATGCTCTATGGCATAGCACCATGGCCTTTGTATGCGAAGCTTAGGCGAGTCTTTGGAGACGAACAGGGTCTTGATACCTTAGCGGGTTCGTGGTTATCTGTGTACTTTTCTGTGAGCTGTTTTTTGGAAAGTTTTTTGGTCTTGAGGATATAGCATAACTGTTTTGTTGTGTAGGGAGGATTTGATCCGTAGAAGCTTAGTCGTTTTCCAGTCTGTTTGTTTTTTGTTTTTGTTTTGGTTTTTGTTTTTTGTTTTCTGGAGTCTTCGTTACGTCCCGGTTTTCTTGTACATTGTCTACGTGTCACCATGTGACTTGGTGTTTTCATCACTGTGTGATCTCTCACCTGTGTATGTTAACCCTCTTTACCATTCCATCATACCGTACGTCCATGCGCGCAAGGCTAAGGGCCACGGTAACTGGGATTTTTGTGGGGAAAGCGGGGTACAACGGTGAAAACTTTGGACCATTTCTCGGTTTATGCGTGTCATCCTTGCGCAGGGGCCATGCTAATCTTCTCCGTATGGGCCTCGCTGCACTACTCTCGAAATGCACAAAAGACAAAATTCATGGTGTTGTATCTTTCCATCTTCTAGCAGAAGATTCACTCTCGTTTTGCACATTTCGAGCGTAGTGCAGCGAGGCCCTATCGCTCCAATTTTAACGGATGTCCCGAAGGACGGTAGGTGGGATTTGGCATTTATTGCCAACCGCTGGCGTGTCCGGCGGCGGGTGGCCTAGGCGGTACTCGTACACGAGGACATTTCTGGATGAATCGGGTCGCACATACGCTTTGATACGTCCTGTGAGGACAAAAAACACCATCGTAGTGGGCGGACTCTCAGCGACGACGACGGCGACGACGATGACGACGGAGCGGACGAATGTTGACTGCACTGCGGTATTGCGTCGCCGGCGAAAGGTTTCGAACTCCTGACCTGATCTGACGGATTGCAGTGATTGGTATATTATCCAGAGTGAGGACAAACAAACAAACAAAAAACAAACAAACAGCGTTGAAAACTTCTTCCACTTTCAAAAGTCTTTCATCTTTCCGCGGTCGCAGTGGTTTCGAGGCCAGAAGCTGAGAGTAGGTTTCGCCGCAGAGAAGGGAAAAGCAGACGGACAACCACGAAAGTAGACAGGAGGGAGTAGGTTTGTCTGTGTGTGTGTGTGTGTGTGTGTGAGAGAGAGAGAGAGAGAGAGAGAGAGAGAGAGAGAGAGAGAGAGGATGGCGGAGCGAAGATGAAGATTAAGACAATGACGATGATTGGGGGCGGGAGGACAGGAAAGTAACTGACGCAACGGGGAGAGAGAGAGAGAGAGAGAGGGGGGGGGGGGCGATGGCGGAGCGAAGATGAAGATTAAGACAATGGCGATGGTGATGGGCGGGAGGACCGAAAAGTACCTGAAGGAACGAAGATAGACATGGTTTGTGGAACGAGGTATGTCCCTGTCTCTTATACACATCTAGATGTGTATAAGAGACAGCCGTATGGCTCCCACTGTCAAGCTTGGGGATCCTAAACGATCCTGAAGGGGTGAATGCCCTGAAGATGAATGCCTTCGGAGGTCTGAAAGGAGCACCCGTCCCCACCTTCTGGTTTTCAGTGTTGTGTCATTTTGACATCCTGAACAATGTGAACGATCCTAAAGGGGTGAATGCCCTGAAGGACTGAAAGAACCCCCTCCCACCCTATGACTCCTACTGTTAGGCTTGAGGATCCGGAACGATCCTGAAGGGGTGAATGCCCTGAAGGCCTGAAAGAACCCCCCCCCCCAACCCTATGGGTCCCACTGTTAAGCTTGAGGACCCTAAACGATTATGAAGGGGTGAATGCCCTAAAGGCCTGAAAGCACCCACCCCACCGTATCGCTCCCACTATTAAGCTTGAGGATCTCGAATGATCATGAAGAGGTGAATGCCCTGAAGGCTTGAAAGCACCCCTCCCCACCGTATGACTCCCACTGTTAAACTGTTAAGTGCTGAAGATTCTAAACGATCGTGAAGAGGTGAACGCCTTCGGTAGTCTGAAGCAGAGAGTCGAATGGAGGTGCGAGGGTATCCAAGGCGTTCATCCCTTCATGATAGTGAGAGTCAAACGGGGGGTTGCTTTCAGGCCGTTCAGGGCATTCACCCCTTCAGCATTATTCATAGTCTTCATGATGGTTTTTTTTTTTTTTCTGACGTCAAAAGACGTGGGTGGTATAATCTTCTTCCATATTCTCGCTCTTTCCCTTTACCCCCTTGCCCTCCTCTTCTCCTTTTCTTTTCTTTTTGTATAGAAGAAGGGGTGATTTTCTTAATTTTTTTTTTTTTTTTTTTTTGGAGAAAAGGTTAGTGGGCTTCTGCTGATCAAAGACAAGGCACAAGCCAACAAGAGTGCTTTACAAGGCATTAATCCTCCCTCCTCTCTTCTGAAGAATTCCACAACGATACGCCAATTATAAGAAGAATTCCACAACGATACGCCAATTATAATCCTCCACTACGACAGACACTCCTCCTGACCGAACAGACGGGCGTTTTTTTTTTTTTCCCCTTAACGCAGACTAAGGTCATTTGGGGTATGTTTGCGATTGTATGTCGACGAACGAAAAATTGCGCCTTGTTTGCGCCCAATGCCATTTCCATCGCTACTGTAGTCGCACGGGGTAAAGAATTGAGCAATCAGATCACGCATGACCAAATAGCATGATGTATAATTCTTCAAATACAATGTTGGATTATTATTAAAAAAATAATGATTAATTCGTAATTTTAAGAAAACAATCACGAAAACAATCACACACATCAATCTAAATTTTCCAGCAGGCGATCAGTTATTTTTCAAGCGGGGCTGATTGGACCTCCAGCAGCCCTTCTTACCCTCCACACGATCATCTGGACGCGATCGACGACCGCGATGGAAGCGCCGGTGAAGAGCCTGAAAATAAAAAGGAGTCGTCGGAAATCCGCGCGGGCGCACCTCTCTCTCTCTCTCTCTCTCTCTCTCTCCTCTCTCTCTCTCACACACACACACACAATCTCTCTCTCTCTCTCTCACACACACACACAATCTCTCTCTCACTCTCACACACACACACACAGACACACACACAATCTCTCTCTCTCTCTCCCTCTCTCTCACACACACACACACACACACACACACTGACGGATGGAGAATGGGGAAAGAACCAATGGGCCCATTAGCTGTGAGTTGGTACACCTGCGACCTGTGGAAATAGAGACGTAAGCTCGGATCCAGATGGGGAACAATTTGAGTGCATGCATTTGTTTGCTGGGGGGGGGGGGTCAGTTCTATGATGACGATTTCTCAAGGCCGTAAAAAAAAAAAAAAAAAAAAAAAAAAAAAGAATCGAAAAAGAGACGACTGAAANAATCGAAAAAGAGACGACTGAAATCCGCGATCGAAAAATAGACGACTGAAGTCCGCGGTCGAAAAAGGCTGGACGGTGGTCATGGAAAGTTGAAGTCCACTAACGCGTGTGTCACCACTCCACTGCCGAATCAATCAGCCCCATTCCACCCAAAAAAAAAAAAAAAAAAAAAAAAAAACGCAATCAACCAACCCCCTGTAAACGATTCCCCACCTCTGCCATTCTGCGGGCTCTTCTCCTCACCGTTCGTGCGATCATAGTTTATCACCCCCCCCCCCCAACCGGCCCGCCGATTTCGCCCCCCTGTCAGAGTGGAAAAGCTGCCTACCGCCTGGTCCAACACCTACTCGCCGTCTTCTTCTTCATCCATGTAGTAAATTTTCGTCGAAATTTCGGTGGGGTTAACAACCTGAATAATCGACCTTCTCGGTTGGAAATTTCGTTCTTGCAAAACGGATTTGCACCGAAAACCGATATTAATACTCCAACCTGAAACTGGCTTCGTTTCCACTTACCCCCACCGACTCCATCTGACATCGTTCCACTGCTTCACGGCCATACAGATTTCTGTCTGACGTTTCCTTTTGAGGAAGCATGATGACCACGTGGTGAGAGACGCATCACATTGCTCACATTATGGTCCCCATAGCCATCATCATCATCATCATCATCATCACCATCATCATTGTCCCCATAGCCATCATAATCATCACGATCATCATCATCATCATCATCACCGCCTCCGAAGCACATTCTGAGCCGAAACTGTACAACCTCCGTTTTGGCGGGAGTTATCGGCCGTATGCAAATAACTGTGAATCATGCACTCTTCCCGCCATTTTCCCAGTCGCTCGTTTCCCGCCATTTTCCCAGTCGTTCGTTTCCCGCCATTTTCCCAGTCGCTCGTTTCCCTCCATTTCCGTCTCTTGCCGCCACGTCTCCACATCTTCCTTTTCACTCGAAAATTCATTTACGAGAGAAGCACGGTGAACCAGCAATACAAGCCCTGGCGGACGTAAAATAAAATAAAATAAAATAAAAGAAGAAGAAGAAGGAGAGGAATAGCACGGAATGCACGCGCAACCAATTCATTCAATCCCACCGGGTCATCGTCGATTTTCAATTCCCAGTAGCTTAGCTGAGGGTTCAGGCTTACCGTCTTCACCCGAATAGAACGCTTGGTCATGATCACTGTATCTAGACTGAAAGTTGCACCAAATACAGCTATAATGACCGGGCGTTCTATTCGGATTCAGGCTAGTTAAGAGCTGGGATTTATTTATTTGTTTTATTTTTTTCCTTAGAAAATTCGTATCCGACCTTTCGGAAATGGTCTATGCATAGAAGGGAACTTTCACCGATCGATTGAAAATTACCCGAATAGGATAGGACGAGAAATTTCCCCAATTGGTCGAAAATTACACCAATCGGATGAAAAGTTTGGTCAATCGGTCGAAAAATATACCACCAGCGTGAAGATAAAAAAAAAAAAAAAGACTTGCCAAAAAATATCCAACGGGATGAAAAATATTTCCACGAAGTGGGCGACGATGAATACCCCAATAGGATGAGAAATTTACCCAGTTTGGTTGAAAATAACCCCAATGGGAAGAAAAAACCTTGGCCCACAAAAATGGGTCGAAAATGATCCTAATCGGATGAAAACTTCGCCCAAAACTGTAAAGAATTCTCCTAAATCAATGAAAAAAATTGTCATAAATTGGTCGAAATTTCGAAAATTAACCCGATCGGATGAAAACTTTGCCCAAATTGGTCGAAAATTATCCCGAAATTGGTCGAAAATTATCCCATAAGAAGGAAAATTTACCCCCCAATTCTGGTTGAAAATCATCCCAAGCAGATGAAAAAGTGTCATGTAAATTTATCGAAAATTCTCAAAATTATTAAAAAGTTGAAATAAACGGTTACTTGCTTTCGATTGGATCGAATAAATACTTGATTGCGATAATTTTCGATTCGTATAACCGATTTATTGATTGGGATGAATTTACTTGATCGGGTAAGTTTTTATTTGTTTGGGCAGTAAATCTGATAATGACAAGGGTAAATCTGATCATGACAATAGATGGCTGCGAGATGCCTTTAAAAAAAAGACCGAAATCCGATTCAAGAACCTGGTCAGATACAGAGCGATTTCATGGAACTGTTCACTGAACTAATTCACTACGAGGAGGATTATATCATCTTTCACTCTAAAGAACTTCAGATCTTATCCATCTACCAGCATCTACTTATCTATTTAATTCACATCCCCCATATTTAATTATCGTCATTAATCAATTCTTATCCATTTACAATCTCTCTCTCTCTCTCTCTCTCTCTCTCTCTCTCTCTCTCTCTCTTTGCCAATGCATGTTTACGTCGGCTTGTCTGCATGCCCTTGTTCATTTCAAAGATATCTATCTATCTATCTATCTATCTATCTATCTATCTATCTATCTATCTCTATCTCTATCTATCTATCTATCTATCTAAGATGTCTATCTATCTATCTATCTATCTATCTATCTATCTATCTATCTATATCTATTTACACATACCTAAGTATCTATACGTATCTACCCATATCTACCTCTCTCTATATATATTATGTCTATCTCCTTATCTATCCATCTATATATGGATATCTATTCTATCTATGGACCTCGCTCCAAGAGTCCCGAAATGTGCATAACGCTGAATGTATCTGAACAAATAAAGTCGCAAAATTAAGTCTTAAGATTTTGCATGGGGCAAGTCGTTGACCGACGCGCTATAGCTATCCATATATCTACATATCGTTATCCATATTTAAATAACAACGACTATCTATCCATGTATCTATATATCTATATATCTATCTTTCGATACTATCTTTTATATCATCTTCATCTATCCGGTTATCCGTACTCATTCAGCATCCACCTTTCTATCTGTTTGTCTATCTTCTATCTAAATATATATTAAATTATACTATGTTTCTTTCTGGTCTGTTATACGCTAATTCTATCACCCAAATATATACTGAAACTCCGACGCAACAGTTTGTCTCAGCCCCTCG